GAGTCCTGCCCCCCCCCGCACTTCCGGGGGGCGGGGCGCCGCCCTTAAGGTGGCCTTGTTAAGTCCTCCGTCGCGGGGGAATGAAAGTGGGCTTAAGTTTAGGGGCGGCCCCCCACGTTGAGGACGCTAGGAAGTTTGTCTCCGGGTCAAGTTCACGGGCGCCGTTCGCCAGGCTGTCTGGCTGCGCCTGGAAGCCCAGTGATTTGCTTTGCTCGAAACGAGGTGCCCGGCTAAGCCCCCGCCGTACCCCCACTTCGCCCTCCGGACCACGGGAGAAAGGGTGTGGGGCCACAGCTTCGTCTCGGAAGCGGCTTGTTTGTTTTGTTTGATTTGTGGGGAGGGAGGGTGAGGGGGGGCAACTCTGCGTCCAATTGAGAACCCCAGCGTATAGGGAATCCGAAACTTGGAGAACCCCGGTGATAGTCTACCCCCTGCCCTCGCATAACAAGAACACGCACACCGCACATTACTGGAACGAACGCGCGCGCGCGCACACACGCACACACGCGCGCACACACGCACACACACACGCACACTCCTCCCGCCTAGAGTTGCTTCCCGGAAAATAAGTCCGAGACACTCGCCGAAAGTCACGCAGCAAGGACTCTGCTCCGGGCCGGTGCCGGGCCCATATCTGGCGTAGCCTGTAGGAAGCGCTAGACACATATAAGTGGCTCCTTTTCTGCGGTGGCGCTTTTATCCTCCCAGATCCCGCGCCCCTTAGGGACACAGTGTCTGGTGGAAAGAATACTGAAGTCGGGAATCGTGGATTCTGTCGTGGCCAGCCCTGCCACGGGGTGAAGCGAGCTTCTCTGAGCTGCAGTTCCTTTACCGGCAGGAGGGACCCCGGAGAGCCACCTCAGTGGGCTGAGCTTCTGTAGCATCATCACCTTCAGGGCCAGGAGGTGGTTGCCAAACGGGCCCCTTCCCGGAGTTTCCCAGAGCCTCCGTGGAATGCCAGCATCTGAGTGTGACTTGGCAGGAACAGGTGTACATACGCCTGTGAGGAGCAGTGAGGGGGAGGAAGGGGAGGGAGGAAAGGGTCAGAAGTCAGCTCTTTCCCAGGCAGAAGGCCTAATACTGGGGCTTGCAGTTGGACCTGCAGCAGTTTATGCTCCTGGGTTCTATTTCTGGCTTTTCAGAACTTGGGGGAATTCAGCCTTGGGTTCAGAGCCCAGAGCTTTAAGGGTTTTGTGGCTTTGAGAGGTCAGATTCAACAGCCCAACAAGCAGCTGGGGGTAGGGAAATCTTGACTTTTCTTCACTCCAGGCACTCACCTCTCATTCTCCCATGCAGCAGAGGAAAACTGAGTGGTTACTATGAGCCAGGTACTATGCTGGGTGCGGGATGGGGGGTACGGATACAGTGATGAAGACAAAGATCAGTTACTTTCCTCAAGGAGAGAACGTTCTCGATACTGTTGCCCTGAGTCATTTTCCTTAGTAATCAGGGGAGCTGGTATTCTTAATAATGTTTATGATGAGAGTCATAAAAACAAATTTCATGTATTAAAAATCTATCAGCCAGGCATTTGCCTGAGCAGGTTAAATAGGTGGTTTCTCCCACAGTCACAGAGCTATGCATGTTATTGGGTGAATTTAACATGTGAGGAGCTAGGCCCAGAGAGGTTAAATATCTTGCTCTGTCCACACAGGCGGCTGGAAATTGGCCTCAGGTTTGTGTTACAGTCCCTGTATCTTCTCTGCTCTGGGAGACTTTCTTACAACATTGCAGAGGAAATAGAGCTTATCAGCGGTTCTCAACCTGTGGGTCGCGACCCCTTTGGTGGTCGAACGACCCTTTCACAGGGGTCGCCTAAGACCATCCTGCATATCAGATATTTACATTACGATTCATAATAGTAGCAACATTGCAGTTATGAAGTAGCAATGAAAATAATTTTATGGTTGGGTCACAACATGAGGAACTGTATTTAAAGGGCCAGAAGGTTGAGAACCACTGGCTTAGATGGTGGGACAGAAGACATTTGCCTTGCCTTGTCTTCTGTAACTCCTTTCAGAGCTCCTGTGTTTAGAAAATTCAAGACTTAGGACTTTGTGTAAATATATATCTTTTGCCTAAGGGTTCTGTGTGTTCCTCTCTGCCTTATGTGGTTTAGTAGGCTGATTTTCTCCTTATGTTGAGAAATAGCATATTTCATCCAAAAAATAGCAGATCTGTTTATGTTAATGCCCCTGCTTGGAAGCCTTCATTGGCTTCTCCTTCCCACCAGGAGAGATTTTGGACACCTTTGCCTAGGAGAAGGGGCTGTTCACAGCCTAGCTCCTGCTCTCAGGCCTCCTCTCTCACTCCCTTTATCAGTCAGGAAAGGCTGAGCTATGCTCCCCTAATGAACAACCCCAACATCTCAGTGGCTTACCCCAGGGAAGTTCATTTCTTACTGATGCTGTGTGCCCACTGTGGGCCTGCGGGGAGTACTGTTTGCTGTGGTCACTTGAGGATTCCAGTTGAAGAAGAAGGTTTCATCTTAAAGCATGTGTATTACTGTCTTGGCTGGGGTGGGGGTGGGGGTGCGGTGGTGGAGAGGAGATGGGAAATTATTCACTGGCTCTCAGAATATCCACCTGGAAGTGACACACTGCACTCTGCTCGTGTATCATTGGCCAAAGCAAGTCCTGTCGCCATGCCTGTCTTTGAATCTCTGTAATCCTGCCAGGTGTCTTGAAAGGAAAGAGCCAGGAAGATTTGTGGAACAATACTAATGATTCTAACAGCATCCCTTTCTGTTCACCAAGTGTTTGGCTTAGTGTCCTCCCGGAGGCAGCATTCCCGCCTTCTTTCCTCAAGGGGACAACACTAAAGACCCATTTAGTCACAGAATGCCAAGCTCACTTTCCAGATTCTGGCGGATGCGTATTAGACCCTGTATCAGCTCCAGATGTGACTTTGTCTACCCTGCACTCCCTCAGTATAGAACAGTGGGACAGAGACAGGATAACTGAATGGATACCCATTTGGGAAGAGAAGAAATAGGAGACCACAGGTAGACACTAGTCCATGTTGAGGACCCCCCAGCTAGCACCCCAGTTAGACCCTGATTCTGCTCCCCCAGTGGAGCTGCCCCATCTATTGTTTTCCATGACCCCTGGCTTTGCCTAGGAGAGACAATTTCTCTTCTATATCTAGAGCAGGAATAGGAAAACATGTTTTAAAATAAGCTTTTAAACCAGCGGTTCTCAACCCGTGGGTCGCAACCCCTTTGGCGGTCGAATGACCCTTTCACAGGGATCACCTAAGACCATCCTGCATATCAGATATTCACATTACGATTCATAACAGTAGCAACATTACAGTTATGAAGCAGCAACGAAAATAATTTTATGGTTGGGTCACAACATGAGGAACTGTATTTAAAGGGCCAGAAGGTTGAGAACCACTGTTTTAAACATTGGGGTGATATACAGAGTGATATTAAGTCTCCAATATAGTGTCCTTTAATCCAGGCTGATGTGCTTTTGGCAGTAGAACTCGCACATAAATGTAGGCTTCTTATCGATTTGATTCCAGCCTTTCACTTCCGAATAGCCTGGCCAACTCTTTTGTAGACATAGTCCTATGGTCTGCCATATTGCTTTGCTTTCTTGCTCTCATGCCTGCTGATCTCTCTGTCTCTCATTCATTCTCCTGCCCTCCTACCCCCTAACTTGGTTTTGAGTGCTTTGGACTTATTGGCCTTTGGTGTGAGAGTCACACTTTTCCTTCCTTTTCCAGAGCCATTTTGTTCAATTGAAAGCATATGCTGGGGAACACAATTTATCCAGAGATTTTAACAATAGGGTGAAGGCTATATTCTTGACTTGATCCATACTTCAAGGTCGATTTTACCCGGCCTTTTCTTGTTGAAAACACTTCTTAATTGTATATTTTACTAGTTGAGATTGAGAAATAGTAGCCTCTTCTCACCCTACAAATCTTTGAATCTTTGGATTTCTAGATGGTCTCTACTGTCTTTCATTCCTGCTTGCAAACTGGTCAATTCTTCTCTGAGCTCATTTCTTTCCTTTTTTTTTTTTGTAATAAGTTTCCAAATGCATCCAACAGCAACCAGCACATGCTACTAACATTTTGTTTTATGGTCTCTTATTCTGAATTCATTAGATTAATGATATGCCTTCTAATTCTCATAGGTGATATATTCACCAAATAGATCGCTATCCTTTTAGCTTCTGTTAACAGTGTTCTTAGTTACTGTCCTCTAAACAAATGTTTAATTTTATTGTTATCATATTACCCCATGTCTAGGTGCCAGTTTTTTTTAATATATTTTATTGATTTTTTACAGAGAGGAAGGGAGAGAGATAGAGAGTTAGAAACGTCGATGAGAGAGAAATATCGATCAGCTGCCTCCTGCACACCTCCTACTGGGGATGTGCCCGCAACCAAGGTACATGCCCTTGACTGGAATCGAACCTGGGACCTTTCAGTCCGCAGGCCGACGCTCTATCCATTGAGCCAAACCGGTTATGGCTAGGTGCCAGTTTTTATATCAGTCAGGATAGGCCAGGTTTGCCACAATAACAAACAATCCTAAAATTTTAGTGGCTTAACAAAAACAAACCATAAACTTTATTTCTTGCTCATATTACATGTTAAAAGTCAAAGGGACTCTGCACAGTGTACTCACTCAGAAACCAAGTCTGAAGAAGGTTTCATCTAGATATATGCTTCCATAACATCCCAACCATTTCAATGGGGGAAAGAAAGCATGGCGAATTCACGTTGGCTTTAAAAGCTTCCTCCAGAAATAAGACACGTTACTTATGTTTATACATTATTGGTCAAAAACTAGTCATGTGACCATGTCTTACAGGGTTCAGGAGAGTGGCTGGAAGTCAAGAGCTGGACACTCTTGCCTCTGTATAGTCGAGATTACACAAAGGTAGAAATCCAAAAATTGTACTGGATGACAACCACGGAATTATTTTTCATTCACACTACACACCCATTACGGGTTGGCTGTGTCTCTGCTTCCCACACATCATCCTTGCTCTTGCGCCCTTTCTGGAACACTGCTGATTGTTATGGCAGAGAGGAAAGAGCATGGTGTTTAAAGAGCATGGTAAGAACAGTGCACATGGCCAAGCCTGATGTCAGTGGGGAGGGGCAGCAAGTATTTGCAAATAGCAATATAGTCTACCACACCCTTCACTACACATTCCCCCAATTCCTATGAGTCTCAGCTATCCTAAACATTTTCCAGTCCTTTGACATTTTCCTGTCTTTCCATTTACTTATATCCAGAATGAAAATGCTACCTGGCAAACTCCTACTCACCCTTCAAGACCCAGCTCAAATAAGCTCCCTCTGATGCTTTCTATTACCCTTGACTACCCTTCCCTCAAATGGTTATTATATTCTTTGGCTCTCACCACACTGGACACATACCTGAAGCAGAGAATGTTTATCATGTGTTATAAATGTTTTCTAATATTTCTGACTCCAGATCCAGGAACTGTCTTATTCATTTTTGTACCACCTGTGCTTAATGCAGTGCCTGGCACATGGAAGGATAGAAGGTGTTCAATAAATGCTTGTTGATGTGTTTTTTTTAAACAGCTATTTCTATAATGGAATTAAGTGGGTGATTTAATAGGTCAAATAACAGTACCTTGTTTTAATACATAAAGGTTGGGACATTTCAAACTCACTGAAACCTTCTTGAGCACATCATGTTGGATTTGGGATAAAACCCAAATTCTTTACCTTGCCTATAAGATCTCACATGATCTGGGCTATCCTTCCTCACCAGCCTGAATGAAATAGCTAGTACTTCTCCCCTCACTTACTGTTGTGCAGCCACACTGGCTGTGGCTGTACCAGTCAGGGCAGCTTAGGTTATGCTACAGTAAAAAACAATTCCAAATTTCAGTACTCAAGACAGAAACATTTTATTTCTTGCTCCTACTCCATGTCTATCAGGGATTGGCAGGGACTCTGATTACATTGTCTTCCTCTGGGACACAGCCTAGCGTATCACTCTTTATCAAGAACATTACAGATATTGATCAAGGCAGAGAGAAAGAATGTTTTGAAGGGTCTTAGGCAGGCGCATTTAAATACCTTTGCCAGAGAATGTCACGTGTAGCTTCTCGGGATACACTGCCTAAAAGTAGTCTCATGGCCCCACCCAGGCACCAGGAGACCAGGAAGTGCAATCCTATTTGCCTGGAAGGCAGAGAGCTGGAGGTATTTGGTGACCAGTCCTCATGACTCCCACATTGGACTTCTTTGGTTCCTCAAACAAGACAAACTCTTTCTTGCCTAAGAACCTTTATGGGAGCCCTCCTACTTCTTCCCTGTTCCTTGGCCAATTTCTGTTTCTTTTGGATGTTAGCTTAAATGTCACTTAAAGAGACTTTATTTTTTCATACCACATCCTCCCCCATCTGAATTATATTTCCCTCTTATACTTCCTCATAAATCCCTATATTTTTTGTTTTGTTTTGTTTTTAATAGCATTGGGATTTCAGGAGGGTGATAAAATAATACCCCTACCTGTCCCCCTCTTGAGTTCAGAACCAGCTGAAATTTGGATACAGGAAGCAGATGAATGGAGATTGCAATGTCAGCTTGATAGCTGATATAGGATTGGAGGGCATGGCAGACATGAGGCCATCATGGATTGCCTAATGCTTCACCCTGAACTGAACTTACCCACCAGTCCCTGGCAAAGGTGGGCAGTTGTCGGCCTCTTCCAAATGGACAGTGAGTGTGTACATCCTGCAGACAAATTGATTCTGAAAAGAGAAAGTGGCTGAGATGGGCATGCTGGGTCTTCTGAACTCAGAGACCAGATAACCCACTCCTCTCCCCACGGGGGATAAACAAGGGATGGAGAAAGTTAACAAATGTCACTTCATGAAAACCCAAAGCCTGGGAAATGAAGATTTCCTCATCAAAACAGAATTTATCTTAATTTGTTATTCCATATCTCTTTGTGTTATTGTTGAGTTTTTTTGTTTGTTTGTTTGTTTTTGTTTAAGATCAGTCTTGTCCACCAGAGGCGAAGCATCAAGAGGGTAGGGTAAGCACAGCTTGTTGTCTTCACTATATCCACAGCATTTAGCCCAATGCTTGGCACATAGAGGGTGTTCAGTAAAACTTCCTTGAACATCAGAGCCCCTGTGGAAGTCCTTCTCTTGGATTAACTCTCAACAAAGTTAGTTCTCATTTGCTTGAGCCTGGTTCCCAATTTTGGAGTGGCTCATTCTCTTCCTTACAGCCCCCCCTTTATTTTTCCAGTTTGTCAACTTGGATACATGCATCCACATCACAGTTGGAGTAAAGAGGCAGAAATGAAAACTGAAATACAAGTAAGTAAGTACATTGAGTTGTTGCAGAGGTTGTTAAGGAGGAATGTGGAATTCTTGTACACATCATCACCCCTATGGTGATGTCTTTTCAGCAGTAAGAACTCCCACAAAACTTATGTAGGATCATAAAGAGGCAAAGTCCTTAGAAGTCATCTTCCTAGTCCTGCCCTTCCCCTAGTGCAGGAATTATTTTGGCAGCTTCTTCTTTACTTAAATACTTCTGGTGACACTCAGAGCTGGGGAGGGACAATTTCAGTGAATACTGCTGGTTGGACTGTGTTGGGAATGCTGTGGACATGAAACTAGAAAGCAATTTTGACCAATCTGGGAGATCTCAGAGAAGATAGGCCAAGTGGTGAGAAGCCTGAAACTATGCTCCATGGAGAAGAAATGAAGGAACTGAAAGTATTTACCCAGAGGGGAAAATAAAAGACTGTGGGAACGTATGTAGCAATCTCCAAGTAGTTGTGAAACTGTTACTTGAAGGAGTTGACTTATTCTGTAGGTTTGTGTTTTTAAAAAAATATTTTTATTGATTTTAGAGAGGAAGGGAGAGGGGGAGAGAAATAGAAACATCAATGATGAGAATCATTGATTGGCTGCCTCCTGCACACCCCAAATTGGGGATCTAGCCCACAACCTGGGCATGTGTCCCAACTGGGAATTGAACTGTGACTTCTTGGTTCATAGGTTAATACTCAACCACAGCTGCGAGGGCCGGGCTATTCTGTAGGCTTTGAGGTCAGAGTGAGGGTAATGGTTAGAAGTTAGAAGGAAAAACTGCTATATTTATGGAAGAACTTTCTGAAATTACAGGGTTTTTTAACCAATGGGATAGTTGCCTTAAGAGTAGAATTGAAGCTCATCACTCAATACATATTTATTGTCTATAATGTGCTGGACACTATGTTTGGTTAGTTATGATGAATTCTAGTGAGCCCATAGTAACTTGTAATAATCACCACTTCATTTTCAAAGTTTATACAAAAGCCATCTTTAAATGTTCTCTTTTAGAATTTGCGTGGGAGTGGTCATCAACATTGGTTTCTCAATTCTGGAATTGACCCCTTTTTTTACTCTCAAAATTTAAAAACTTGTGATGATATTTTCTCAAGTCCAATATGAGTTAAATGGACATTCTCTACCAAAACAGTACACATAAATCACAATTACCTGTACTTGGGATCACTTAAAACTAGATACTTGCTTTCCATTTGTTGTAGAAAAACTATGAAGTGTTCACCAAACTCCTTTCCCTTTTCCTCCTGTGCCTACAGCTAAACTACATCTTTTTGGCCTCCTTTATTAATAGGTATGACCACTTGGCTGAGTTTTAGCCAAAGCAAAGGGGGTGAATGTAATGTGTACTGAGTACAGGCCTGGCTCATAAAACCATCTTTCTCCATCTCCTGGTTAAAAGTAAGGGTCATAGAGAAGGGCAGGGCCACAAATAGAAAGACTGGATCTCTGAATGACCATGTGGAAGATTGCCCACTGACCCAGAATATTCTCATTGGACTTTGCCTGAATGAGAAATAAACTACACTGTGTTGAACCACTGAGATTTTGGAGTATATATGTTAGAGCTGCTAGTGTCTTCTTATTCCAGCTGGTGCTGCAGGATTCCCTCAAAGAGAGAATAAGTGTGGAATTGAAGTTAGGGAGTTTTGTTCTTCCCTTTCCTGTTTGAAAGAATTAGTGGAGGAGGCAGGGGTAAAGGACATAGCACTTAATCACACACCCATGCTTCCTGTTGGTAATGTTTTCTATCTAAAATTCATAAACTTCATGGGACATGTTTCCATGTCTTACATCTTCTTCTATATTCAATCTTTCAGTTGATATTTATTGAGAAGTGCCAGGTGTTTTGGGGATTTCTGAAGACATATAAGTAGCATATATTGTTAAATATGTTATTGATTTACTCAACAATTTTTAGCATCTACTAAGGGCCAGCCCCTGGTAAACATGGGTGGGCAAAAGGTACAGTATCCACCCCAAAATTGGGGTACAACAAGGAAAATACATAATAAAGAGGCAAGATGAGTCAAGTATGATAATACTATGAGAAGGAAGGTCAGGATGTTCTGGGTACACAGAGAAGGAACATCTGACAACGTAGAGGTCAGAGAATTATCCTCTAAGGAGGAGTAGCCAGAAGAAGAGGAGACAGTGGAGAAAGAATGTTCTAGAAAGAAGGACTGCATGTACAAAGGTCTGACTATGGGGCCAGACTATGGTGAGTGTTTGGAGGGACCAGAAGTTAAGCTGGATACGAACAATGGAGAAGATGAGCATGAGAGAAGGATCTTGTAAAATATATGTGCACTTACTTAATAAATGCATACAGAAGGCCTTGTATTATAATATGTATATGCATTTACCTAGGAGGAAATATGGCCGATTAACCATCAAGATGTCAACGTTGTGATATTTGAGTAGTTTCCAATTTCCTCCCTATGTTTCTGTTTGTTCTAGAACTGTCTAAAATAAATGTGTGTTTCACTTAAAAAATCAAAATATAAATGTTTTTTCTTATTAGTTGTGCCTGCACCTGTTGTCTTTCAGAGGATCCTCACAGCAGTCTTCTGAGTAAACTGAGGTTCAGAGTTGGTAAGTCCCATTCAGTCTACTTTCTCCCCAAGGCGCCTGCCTTCCTTGTGGTTTTCTAAGCAGTGATGATGGCTTTCTTGGAACTAGTGACTTTAGTGCTCTGTTGAGTGTTCATGTGATGGAGTTTGCAACCTGGAAAAAAATTGGGTCAATGTTGTCATGATCCTGACTTACCTAGAGGCTTCCCACGTACAAAGGATAGTCCTTAACCTACTGGACCATGTCACTAGAGTTCTCTTTTTGTGGATGCTGTCATGTCCTTTGCCTAGTGATTTTGCAATGGGGTAGAGAGCTACTGATAATTTTGAAAAATGTAGTTCAGGAAGGAGATTGTTCCCCATTATTTTGTCAACCCACATCTTGATTGACTAGCATGTTGGTGCTTGGCCGAACTAGTGAGGATGAATATTTGCAGTGGACATCCAAACACTTGAAAGCCTTGAAACACTGCATCAGCATTCTCTACATTATGTTATGGCAATAAACTGCCCCTCAGATTTCAGAAGCTTAAAACAACATGAATTTATTTCATGTGCATGTTACGTTTTCATCCTGATTCAGGCCTAACTCTTTACTCTGAGACTCAGGCTGAAGGAGCAACTCGCATCTGAGATATTGCTGGTGTGTATCACAGGGAAGAGAGAGGCAACACCAGGGACAGCTCTTAAAGCTTTGCCCACAAGTCACTTCCACTTACCTTTGATTGCCCAAGTGTGTCACAGGGCAGCCAAACTTTTGCCAAACACCTCAACATTCTGAGTCTCAGTTTCTTTATCTACAAAATGGAAATAGATAAAATACATTATGGTGTATTCAAACCATGGAATATCATGTAGCCATTTAAAAAGATAGAGAAATGCCCATGATACAGTGTTATATGAAGAAAGCAAGTTGTAATGTCTGTAGCATGGTTTTATTTTTGCATAAATTTAAAAACCTTGCCCTAGCTGGTTTGGCTCAGTAGATAGAGCATTGGCCTGCAGACTGAAGGGTCTCGGGTTCGATTCGGTCAAGGGCACATGCCTGGGTTTTGGGCTCAATCCCCAGTAGGGGGTGTGCAGGAGGCAGCCGATCAGTGATTCTCTCTCATCATTGATGTTTCTATCTCTCTCGCCCTCTCCCTTCCTCTCTGAAATCAATAAAGATATATTTTAAAAAATAAATGAAAATAAAAACCTATCTATGAGTATAGAGTATATTTGTTTGTATGAGAATATTAATAAAAATAGCTAATGTTTATTTAAAAATATTTTTTATTTATTTTTAGCGAGAGAGAAAGGGAGAGGGAGGGAGGGAGGGAGAGAGATAAACATTGATTGGTGCCTCCTGCACACCCCCTACTGGGGATTGAGCCCACAACCCAGGCCTATGCCCTGACCAGTAATCGAACCAGCAACCTTTTGGTGCACAGGATGATGCCCAATCAACTGAGCCACACCGGCCAGGGCAAAAAAAAAAGCTAATGTTTAATGAGTGCTTATAGCATATGCCCATTACTGTGCTAAGTGCTTATTATATACATTTGATCATTTAGTCCTTACGAAACCCAGAGAGAGGAGTAGAAAGTTATATATCAAATGGTCATTATCAGCTACCTTACTTGTGGGTGTGTTAGAAAGATTTTATTCACTCTTAAAAATATATGATTTATGTACATTTTTGCTCATCACAAAAGATGAATTAATCAGCTTTTGTTGTGAAAGAAACCACCACAAAATCTGTGTTATACAATGTTAGGTAAATGCCTAACATTTCCTGTTTATTGGTCTGCAGGCCAGGTGAGGTGGCATAGCCTTCCTAAGGCCCCATTCAGTCTTCTTTCCTCTCCGTTGCTCTTCCTCCCCCGCAGTGTTCTAAGCAGTGATGATGGCTTTTCCTGGAGGAATAGGGCTGAGGTTTAAATTCAGGTCTGCTCCATGCGTCTCACTGTAGAACCCATCCTAGAGAGGCAAACTCTACCAGGGATATGTTATTCTCCTGGCAAAGGTTGTGTCTAATGGTCACACCTGAGGCTTTTTGAGGCCTAGGCTTCAAACTGGTACATTGTCATTTTTGCCCACATTCTATTAGCTGAAGCCCATCACATGGCCAAGTCCAATGTCAGTGAGCAGGGAGTCATGGGTGTTGTGGAAGGAGGAAGTGACTATTTTCTTTATAGTACTCTACTGCAATAAGCATACATTGTTAACAATATAAAGTGAGGAAACAAAAACATGTACCAGGGGTAGTTTAAATTGTGTTTAATATATTCCAAAGTCACATTATGCATTTCTTAAAAATACAAACTCCACATCTACAATTATAATGAGCACAGTGATAGTCACATGGACATTTAATTAACCAGAGTACCTAGTAGGGCAGGTGGGAGTTTACAGTAGCTTGGCTTATGCTGTCCGTGGTGTGACATTCTAAGCATAATCTAGAGACTGTTTAATGTCTCTCTGTATGCATCACTGCTACTTGTGTGGCCATCTGCAATCCAAGGAACTTAAATCATGAATCACAGACTCTCAGACCTGGAAGGACTTTGGTGCCTGGGGTAGGCAGGTGCTTCCTAAGTTCCATGGATAGCTACTCTTGCCAATTACAGTCATTCTTGACTGGGTGTTTCTCACGTCACTGGAGAATGGGTATAGAAATCAAAATTCCTTCATTTATCCAAGGGGGACAGTGTGCCTCCACCCCCTGCTGTGGCTTTCCTGAGTGATACAGTAAGTTAGTGGCCAAAGATGGGATGGAAACCAGGTGTCTGGAGTGGGCCCAGGGCCCTTGACTTTGTTTCTCTGCGTGACACAAATATCAAGCATATGGGTCATTTGGGAATTGTCACTGGGCTCTGACACTTCCATTACCCTTTACAGAAATAAATGAAGTCTCCTTCTTCTCCTGCTTCCCCTGTTTTAAGAGAACTCACGTACTGCTCAGACCAGCTATGTCTGATTCCTGCAAAGAAACATTAGACGGCACAGATGCAGAAATAGAGGGTAGCATGTTAAATTCCTTGAACACTGGCCAGGGAATCACCCCTGCTTCAATTTCCTGTCTATTCTTGGTAATTTAGAAAATATCTGCTGATACAACTCATGAGAATCTATTTACAAAAAGAAAATGTTTTATTAAGGAATTTATTTGTTAGGATTAAGAGTCATGTTCTGCAAGTTTCAGTCATTTACCGATCACTTTTTTTATTCATTTTTTAATGTCCACTCTATCCCTAAAATCAATTTACTTGATATTTTTCTTTAAATAGATTCATATTTTTAAAACTTAAAGACATTTTTATAGGAGATGATACATTACTGTTATAGATGGATAACAATATGACTTGCTATAAACATTTAGACAACTGTAAAAGTAAATACACAACCTTTAAAATAAATAGATTTGTCCATGTACCATTAAAGGTTGTTTCTTATTCTACAAGCGGCAGGCATTCCCCACTTATATAATGGAATAGTATGGGCTTTGGCATCAAATCTAAACTCATTCTCTTCTCAGTAGTGTGATTTGGGGCAGTTTCCTTTAAATTGCTCAGTTTCTCATCCATAAAATGGATCAAAGGTTACCTCACTGTGTGTGTGTGTGTGTGTGTGTGTGTGTGTGTGTGTGTGTGTTTGTGTGTGTGTGTTCAAAAGCATCTAGTGTCATTCTATGTCATAATAGGAACTCAAAACACTTAGTTACCTTCTTCCTTTCCTTTCCTCCCCCACCCCAAAAATTAGGCTAATGAACTCTGTTGTCAGAGAGATGAATGATTTGGAGGCACTATTAATTTTTCCCAGAATAACTTACTGATAAATTGCTTGCGGTGTGCTGGGAAACGTGCTAAGTGCTGTGGGTACAATGGAGACTGGGTAGATGGACTGGGTAAATGAGTTGAAGACCTGGTTCAAGTCCCATTTCATGTCCTCCAGATAAGTCACTTTATACCTCTGAGTCCAGTTCCCACATCTGAAAATGAGTGTGGTGATCGCCATATATGCCTACTTCAAGGAACATGTGTAAGGAATACCATAATAGCTACCAGCAAAGCCTTTGGTGAACCGATACAGGTGATTCTGCTGTAATGGGACATGTATATTCCTGAAACACTTTGTGTCCTGCAGACACAAAGTAAAGTAAAAACGGGGCATTTTGCAAAAATAGGGTTGAAGCAGATTATTGAAAACCTATACAATATTGTGACCACAATGCCAAGATAAAACTTTTTATTCTAATAAAAATAATAAAGCTAAAAGACCTGTTAAAATTTGACTAAGTAAATAAATATACACACCTATACATACTACAGCACACATAGGACTTTACTTTAAAACTGGCAGAGGTAGCTTGATGAAGGCACAGGGTGGGGATGAGGCTGCTGAGTTATGGAGCTGAGGGCAAATGCTCAAAGATGGGAGGTGCCATGCAATATGCCCTTTCAGGAAAGGACATGTGGGCGAACAGCCCAGCAGGAGGAGGAGGGTGAAAGGGCATCTCACCAGTACCCCTAGTACCGTGTGCCTCTGTGTCAGCCACACTCAGCTGTGTTAGTATCGTTTCCACTCAGTTGCTGCTGCTCGGTGCAATACTAAGACGTTAACATCCTGGGGAAAATCAGTGTGAAACAAAGACACTTGCATGTTATGTTGTTCTTATCCCCCCAGTTACCAGTCTTACTTGTCTTACAGTAACACATATCACAGTATCATGTATTACAGCAAAGCAGTCCACCTGTGCAGATGGAGGGGGGTCTGCAGGCTTTGTGAGCAGAACAAGCAGAGACTCCCAGAGGTAGAATTCATTCAGAGACTTGAGTCTCTCCCTCTGGGCCTTCTGCCTTCCCTTCCTAGTGTGATTGTCTACTTCCCTTCCTCTCCTTGGTTGCAAGGTTCCTCTTCCTCACTAGCCTGTGAGCTCCTTGAGAGAGGGCTGTCATATTCATCGATGTGCTCTGACAGTCCCCATAGGGGCCCTGGAGCAGAATGGCTGTGTTACAGCTGAGGCTCCTTTTGTAGGCT